CCAGACTCCATGGACTGGCATGCATAATTATTATCAATCCACGGCACTCGTGCATGCTGAAAGGGTAAACATAGTTTGTGCTTCTATAACTGGCCGGTTAGTATGCATTAACATGCAAACATAATATTATATATTATTCCTCGTTCAGGCAGACACTTTTCAGAGAACGGTTTGAACTGGTCAAACAATAGTATATATCACTTTGAGATAAAATTGCAGAAGGGTTTATAAGGTGAAATGTAACAAAAATTCCACAAGGATAATAGATTTTTTGGTGATAAATTTGGTGAGAAGAGAAAACGGCCAAAATAGAGTACCAGCCACCAAACCTTGTGCATCAAAGACTGAAAGAGAGGGAAAGAGTAGAGAGAAAGCATCATATTGAGGGGGTGTGGTCAGTTATAGAAGAGGGGGTGGTCAGAGGGTGTGGCCAGTTCACTGGGAAGGGTGTGTGGTCAGTTCATGGTCTTGCGACATCGTTTAGTGCCACAGTTGCAAGGTATCTTGGCTTCCTCCAGAGGAAACTTGTAGTCATACGTCAGCTCTTCACCTGGTACGATCCTACAGTGGTGGGAGGAGCTTCAAGTTAACTCTTTGCATGCTGCATTCATTGTGCAAATGTCTCCACACACACAGACACGGAATTACATGTTTATGCACGTAACATTGGAAGTGACCCGAGAAGTAAATTACATATGTGCCAACGTGTCCTTGTTTGTAAAATAATTATAATGGAGCTGGTGCGTGGCTGACCTCCTTAGAGCAAATATCATTATCTTCTTCTGTCCATCCACTGTTATCACCTTTGAATAGCAGTTGGGCTGAGGGGATGAGAGAGAGAGAGAGAGAGAGAGAGAGTTAGCCTCGCTCAGTGCGTGCCAACTCGTAAGTAGAAACAGAACCTTACACAGTGACACACTTTGAAACACAATTTTCTAAACTACCTAATGCGGTCACATAATGCATGCATAGAACAAAGTGTTTTTTAAAAGATGGGTTTTAAAGATGGAAGAGAGATATACTAGTACTTACCTCACAGGAATGGTTGATAAACCTGGCCTCGTTTCCAGACATCGTAGCATCCACAACATCATCTGCATCTATCCTGAACATGTAGCACCCAATGCCCTGTGGAAAACAAAACCACACCCACCTCTCTCCTCCCTCCTCCCCTTTCCATAAAAAACATTAATGCCTATTGTGTTCATCATGCTGACTCCAGAGAGCATGAAAAGATAATGAACCTCACAGTACACTGCATAAACAGCCACTGAGAAGGGAAAACTTGCTATGACTGACAGCAATGTAGCTTGCTGAGGTCATAGAGACAGCAAAGGGGAAGCTTGAAAACAAAGGAGGAGTAATTGAAGGGACAAGTACACATCTAAAACCCAGACAATAAGTAACATGTTGGTTGTAGTAGATTTCCAATTATTGCCCTGTCGTTCTGTTACTCTCTACCAAGCATCCTTACCCTGGCATCATACATCTTCTCTCTCTTGTCGGTGAGGACGGACCTAATGACGGTGCCGGCGTACTCTATCACCATCTCCCCAGCCTCAATGTCTCTCCGGCAGAACAGCCCCAGTCCATGGATGTAGGACTGGTACACTCCAACCATCTGTTTGTACGTCTTCTGGAGGACGCGGTACCTCATGGCCATTGGCAGGTCTGAGGCTGTCGGTATTCTGAGAGAGTGGGGAGTCCTGCTTTGTAAAACAATTCTATCTCTCTATCTATCTAGTATGGCCATAGTATATATATGTAGTGCATAGTATCTAATGGTATGTCAGCTAGAACAACTCCACCAGCTTGCTCAGACAAACACAAAGATATACTGACTATGCATGCACTATTATATACACACTCTATCACACAATACTCTAGCACAAAGAGATATACTGACGTATGCATGCCCTATATACACGCATTCTATCACACAATACTCGAATAAGGCACAACTAATCTAGCACACACAATATCGCAGCTTTTTGTCGTTGACTTAGGTACAGCTGTTGTCTGTTGTTACTGAGACTTTCGACACACAGGAGAGCGGAGAGGCTAATATATCTCAGTGTTGCTAGAGGCACATTTGAGCTGTTGTTAGCTAAAAATATAGAGTTGGGGAGCTAAAATTTGGTGTACCTAAAAAATTTAGTCAACTGAGGTGTTTGGGGGTGTGGCTGGTGATCATGTTCAGCTAATACGTGAGAGAAACGGCACCATGCAGGCTCTAAATCTTGCCATACAGATGAGTTATGTAATGATTACCTCTTCCAGCTTATTGGGGTTGCCTGTGACGAACGTCAGCGTCTTTCTCCCCGCTGCCATTATCCACGAGTGGGCGCTTATTTGTTCGCGCAGGCGCACTATGGGTATGATACGCGCTAAAGAGGATGCTAAGAGAACTGGTGGGTGTGTTGGCGACTTTTGCAGCTGCCACTGTGTCTCTGTATGCCCTGGCCGCCTCTCTGCTGAGAATGGGTGAGAACTTTAAAATTGATCTCAAACACTGATCTATTCATTCACTCAACTATAATACCTTGAAGTAGGGAGAACTATTTCATGATATCAAGCAACGAATGAAGGAGAGTATATAACATGGCCATCCTAATCCCCAGCCTCCCCTGTGTTCCCCTCTGACATGGACCAGCTGCATCCCTGGCCTCCCAGCTGGAAAGACTGAGGGAGGAGCACTATGGCAGAGTTCTCTGTGTCTTCTCTGCCGCCTACCTCTACAAACAGGCCTTTGCCATCCCTGGCTCCGTCTTCCTAGTTAGTGCCTGCTTGTTGGCCACTCCTAGAAGCTAGCTGTTCGTGCATAAGTGAGGGGCAGGGAGGATAGACATTGAGACAGTGGTGGTCGATGAGCATTTACTTTTTGAAAAGTTACCTAGTGACTCGGAAACGGTCAGGAAGAGAGGGAAAGCGAGGGTTTAGTTGAGACTATTGTGGAGCACATGGGAGGAGGTAGTGACTGTGTATCATGGTCCTGTTGTTCCAGAACATTCTGGGGGGAGCAGTGTTTGGGGTGTGGGTGGCCCTGCCTCTGGTGTGCCTTCTGTCGGCCTGTGGAGCATCTCTCTGCTACCTTCTCTCCCTGGTCTTCGGTCGCAGGCTGGTCACCAGGTACTGGGGCACCGTCTCACTCCACTCCAGGACAGGGTTGGTAATAGAGTATTACTAGAACACCCCCCACACTGAGAGATTGTGGGATCATGAACCTGGGCACATTCAAGGAAAATGTCGATGTTTACACGAGAAATAGTCCCATGCAACTAAGTCTGTGCAACAACACAGTGTTTACGTATACAGATCCATCTGCAGACTTGAGGAAATCCTCATTCCCTACATGATTTTCTAAACCTGACAGGACAGGGTTGGTAATAGAGTATTACTAGAACACCCCCCACACTGAGAGATTGTGGATCATGAATCTGGGGACATTTCAAGGAAATGTCAATGTTTGCAAGAGACAAGTCCCATGCAACAGTCTGTGCAACAACACATGTGTTTACGTATACAGATCCATCTGCAGACTTGAAGGAAATCCTCATTCCCTACATGATTTTCTAAACTGAGACATTTCGCATTCACCATGGAGTTCTAAATGTTTCAGTGTCAAAAACCCTTGTTACACATCATATAAGACTAAGTTTTAAGTCACGAATTGTTGTTGGTTACCAATGCCATAAAAAACAGGAAACAGGTTTTGACATGTGTTACGAGTAAGAACAATGAAAATGCTGACCAGCTCACTGGAGACGAACAGTTCAGGCCAGGTCAGATTTCGTGACTCAAAACTTAGTCTATATGAGAACCAACCCAAAAAATGGTCATGCAAAATTAACATTAGATCTCTCTCTTTCCTTCCTTATTTCCTCACTCACTTCCCACACACACTGGCACCCTTCTCTCTGTCGTGACCAGCTCCACCCAGTAAGGGACTGAGCTGTGCTGGTCCTCTATCTCTGAGACTGTTCCCCATGTCCCCAAACTGGCTCCTCAACCTCTCATCCCCACTTCTCGGGTGCCCCTCCATCTCATTCTTCATCTCCGTCCTCTTTGTGTGCGTGACTTCAGTCGAGCTGTGAATATTGTCGTGTTCTTAGTTCGGAATGTTGTTGGTGCCCCACTGATACTGTGTCCGCATACCTGTCCTGAATATTGTTGGTATGTTCAGTATGTTGGGGATGTGTGCGAGTATCTGCTGCTGGGTAAGGAGCTCTTCTCACTCCACACACACACACACCAGTCTTCTGCCCTACAACTTTCTCTGTGTCCAGGTCAGGTCTGATGTTGGCAAGTTGAGGGGTGTGGCCATCCCGTGGGAACCGACTCCTATCCCTAGCTGCCTGTTGTGGGGCTGTGTTGGCTACTGGCAACAGTGCCTAGGAATGCGCTATTTTCATTCCAGACTGGAACAGACTAGGACCAGTAGATAGCATGGTGTGTACAGCATTGAACTGCATCCTCATCAATATTATCATTTCAATTTTGGTTTGTGATTATTTGACACAAAAACGAAGGAGAGTATATAACATGGCTCAATCCTAATCCCCAGGCTTCCCTGTCATTTCCCTCTGACATGGACCGCTGTGCGATCCTGGCCTCCCAGCTGGAAAGACTGAGGGAGGAGAACTATGGCAAGTTCTCTGTGTCTTCTCTGTCTGCGCCTACCTCTACAAACAGCCTTTGCCATCCGTGCCCGTCTTCCTAGTTAGTGCCTGCTTGTTGGCCACTCCTAGAAGCTAGCTGTTCGTTGCATACATGAGGGCAGGGAGGGATAGAAATTGAGACAGTTGGTGGTCTATGAGCATTACTTTTTGAAAGTTACCTGAGTGACTCGGAAACGGTCAGGAAGAGAGGAAGTAGTTGAGACTCTTGTGGACCAGGGGGAGGTAGTGACTTTGTGTCATGGTCCTGTTGTTCCAGAACATTCTAGGGGGAGCAGTGTTTGGGGTGGTTGGGTGGCCCTTGCCTCTGGTGTGCCTCCTGTCGGCTGTGGAGCATCTCTCTGCTACCCCTTCTCCCTGGGTTTTGGTCGCAGGCTGGTCACCAGGTACCTGGGGCACCTCTCGCTCCACTCCAAGACAGGTTGGTAATAGAGTTTACTAAGAAACATTTCCACACATAGATGTGGATCTGAAACTGGGGACATTTCAGGAAAATGTCAATGTTTGCAGAGACAAAAAGTCCATGCACTAAGTCTGTGCAACAATACATGTGTTTACGTTATAGATCCATCTGCAAACTGAAGGAATCCCCATTCCCACCTGAATTTCTAAACTGGACATTTCACCACTTCACCATAGAGTTTCTAAATGTTTCGTGTCAAAAACCTTGTTAGTCGTTGCAATTTAGTCACGAAATGTTGTTGTTACCTGCATGTATGCCTAAACAGGACAGTTTTGCTGTGTTCGGCTGACCATGAAATGCTGGCCAGCCACTGGAGAACGCGTTTCAGGCCAGGTCGATTCGGACTCAAATAGTCTTATATGAGAACCAACCCAAATTGGTCATGCAAATTAACATTAGCTCCTCTTTCCCTTCTTTATTTCCGACTCACCTTCCTCACAAACTGGCACCCTTCTCTTTTCGTGACCAGCTCCACTCTGTAGGGGAGCTGAGCTGTTGCTGTTCCTCGTTCTCTGGGACTGTTCCCCATGTCCCCAAACTGGCTCTCAACCTCTCATCTCACCCCTTATCGGGTTGTTGCCTCTCTCTTCTTATCTCCATCCTCTTGTGTGCGTGACTTCATTTGATAGTGATTGTTGTTCGTTGGAATTTTGTTTGTGCCACTGATTTCTGTGTGAAATTCAGTGAGACTGTTTGTGTTGTTTTGTTGTGGGTTAAATGTTACCTATCTGATAGTGTTTTTTTGTATGTTTTGAGTGTGAAATGTTTGGTATGTTTGGACTAGTATGTTGGGGGGGTGTGAGGTGTCTGCTGCTGGGAATGAGATCTCTCTCTCTCTCACAAACAAAGCACACACTGGTCTTCTGCCCTACAACTTTCTCTGTGTCCAGTCAGGTCTAATGTTGGCAGAGTTTGAGGGTTGTGGCCATCTTGACCCAGCTCCATTTCCCTACTGGTTTTGGGGCTGGTGTTGTTCTGGAACAGCCTAGGAGCGCTATTTTCATTCCGACTGGACAGACTAGGACCAGTAGATGCACGGTTGTGTACAGCATTGAACTGCTCTCATAATATATGTTGGTTTGAGGAAGTGGGGCTATATCAGAGCGTCGGTAGACGCTCTATATAGGGATGACACGGGTGAAATCTCACGTGATCCGCGTACA